ATCGATCATGTTTGATTCTCCTCTTGTGCATTCTGCTATGCTATGCCTGCCCTTTCTTGCACCATAGCAATGACCCTGTGACAGTCTTGGTTTCAAGACGTTCTGTCCTTAATAACAATCCCAAAGCTGTCTGTTGATAACAATTCCAAAATGCATTATGCTCAAAACGAATCGCATAACAAAATATCAGATACCTCTTGGCCAAAGACTATACCGTCTAATCGAACATGGATGCTGTGGTCATTGAAAGAGATTTAGGTTTGAATATCGGTACATGTATTAACATGAGGTTGATGCTCATCTCCAAAACACAAGTAGTGTTGTTAGTAGTAGTAGTTGTTTGTTTTTTAATCTTCAAATAAACCACAAAGGGAAACTGACAAGGATCTTTATCTTAATATTTTCAAAGTTGAACAAAGTAATTAGGCCTAAGTGGAGCGGTGTTTTGAACCTGATTTTAAGTTTGTCTTTACGACTGAACTTATGACCGGAGACACAAATATAAATGACGGAATGTTGGACCACAGCAAACGGGTTCACAGGCGATACGGACCGCTTCACTCTTTGTTGGTTGAAATTGTAGGTCTTCAGTGTCCCAAAAGTGATTTATTGCAGGGGATGGTACCGACGACTGTGTTTGTTCGGGATTTCTTTGTAGGAAGCCAACCGCAACTGGCTCATAACAAAGACATTTATCAACTCGTCGGTAAAGTTCACAGGTCGCAGAAATCATCAACACCCCAATCATCAGAAGTTGCGTTCAGCAATTACCGGTTCCTTTTGTCAAAACACCGACTTCATTTTGCAAGTTCAGTGGGTTCGGTATTTTACAACAGAATAAAGATGAAAGGGGAAACGGTACCGGTCATTTTTGGACCCAAAACGGGTATAGATTGGAAAGTGACTTAGCTTCGAGGCATGAATCCAATCACCCAGTTTAGAAATTAAGTTGTTCGGCCTTCGAAAAGTTGAACATGTGCATAACTACATGTAGTGCAAGACCTGTATGTTAAAAAAGGAATGCTGTTAAGGCATACCAGTCTTGGGGGGTGGGTACAATTCCTTCTGTCAATTCGCAAACTGGCCATGAAACGCCAATCACGATAAACAGATGGTAATAGTGCACAAATGAAATCCGCAGTAACAATAGAAAAAGGTAAAGCATAGTTCGATTTCGAAAGCTCAATTATGGTTGGAAAAGCAAGGCATTAAAATGAAATGCCATTTGTGGGCAGGCTGTTATGACTATACGGGTTGAGGGATCTGCCGCCATTGCCTTCGGCTGCTTTCATATGAAATTGATGCAAGACCCTCCCTAGCTATTGTGTCAAGTAGTAAAGTTTGGTCTGTATCAGCCCCATGTCTTCCTGACATGTCTGTTGTGACAGTCAGGGTGTTACCTTGAGTTATATCATTACTTGTTTGGCAGTCTCACAAGTGTGATGAGAGAGGATGGTCCATCCTCGAAATCTTATTTGTGTGATGTTTCCTACATCATTGAAGCAATTGACAAGACAATTACCCCAACCCAAACCTCGAAGCTATCAAACAGACGAGACATAGCATGCCTAGCATACATTTTCTGGAGGCAGTATCATTCTACGTATATCCTTGGCGCCTTTTCGGAATCCGGATGCGTGAGGCTTACCAAATTTATTCTCCTGATTGAAATTTAGCGTTTTATGTGAACATGTTTACAATCTTGCCTCTTATAGTCGAATACCATGACTACTTTTAACTGGAAAGAAGTTCGAGCTTCAAAGTCACTTAATGCACAAACATGACTAAGTTTCATATTGATATAACTTCAAGAAAAGTGACTGGCAAGTGTGATTATTATCCAGATTCCCCATTATACCTATATATAATTATGTGAGGATATGTGTCCATTTGTGGAGTTTGCACGTGATTTTGACCCTAAAATTAACCGTGGATTAAAGAGTTTGGATCTTGGGCTGTTAAACTCATATACTCATAGTTAGATTTACTAAAATCAATGTCCTGTCTAAATTAAAGAAATCTCATCCCAGTTGTCGTCCCAGTCAGGGTTCATATTCATCCGCACCGTGTGAAGGTTTTCCTGGTAAAAGACGAAACAATTTATACCGCAGGATTGCGTTATCAGGAAGCTCCAATTAAAATCATTAAAAGGAATTGTGTGTAAGGGCCGTCCCGTCCCGTTTGGTGACTTGGTTTGTTCTGAGTCAAACTATATGCACCTGTTATGAAAGTTTGATGTTTTTATATAAAGGGCATTCGATTATTATCGCAGCTTTTTATGCCAGTGTACTTTCGAAAGAAAAAAACATTGGTGTGTAGTATATTTTTGTTTATTAAATAGAGGAAGTTCTCCAGGAGGGTTGAAACTAAACTCTGACAATGTTTAGAATAGAACAATAAACAAACTGAAACTGTGAGGCCCCGAGAAGACGAGAGGAAACTAGATTTCAGGAGGATGTCAGTAATGTAGAAGTCAAGCTAGAATAAAGGAAAGTTCGAATAATTGAACTCGAAACCGGTTGAAACCAAACCTGCATGGCGTGTTAAGAATAATGGAAATTAGTTTTTGAAACTTTTTTTGTAATGAAATTACTAACAGTGAATATTATTTGCATGGAAACTTCTTGAAAGTTTTTACAAATTAGATTCTTAGAGATTGCAATTAATTACGTTTGATCGAACTTTGGGGATTTGTATTTTTTGTGTACTTGTGATATCTATTGTACTTATTATTCTGCAAACTAATTTCGAATTGGAAGTCAACCGTTGGGCAGGGTATCAGGATTAGTTTTTTTATCGATATAAACCCTTGATCTTTTATTGCCAATCTCCGCAAATCCGTTGACGCATAATGTTTAATGGCATTCAACAAGTTCAGGAGCAGTTCATGATGGTCACTTGCAACTCTGTCAGTCCATTTAATTGATTGCTCGTTGGAAATCACCAACTTTTTTATTTCTTCTAAATGACAGCAAGCCTGACGGAATAATTTCACGGGTATTTAGTATCAGTACGATCTTGAATCCAAGTAGTACGTTTTTTGGTAATAATTCGGTAAGTTACTTTTGGGATAAATGCAAATGTTCCAGTTGCCTTTGAAATGTAACCATTCACTGTTTAGAGAATAGTCATGGTTCTACATCATTTTCGTTGTAGTACTACTTGTACGGTCATATAGCTGGGGCCAAAGTGCCGAGCACAGAAGCTATTTCAGCCTAGACAAAATATGTTGCTTATACATAGTGCAAACAGGTTACCATTAAAAATTTATTGATGTGTATTCTTTGACAGTGTTTTCAGCTGCTTTTAAGCTTAGCACATTATTCGTTTAGCAGTGTTTTCTGCTTAAGAGTGCCATGAAATGGGCCCATGGGTAGCTCCGTGCGGCCCACATACCACTCCGACTGGCCCTTGAAATTCTATACAAGTGTCGATTGCACATTATGTCGGTCAGGGTCTTTGGTTTCCAAAAAGCCTTTACCAAGATTTTTCCTGACTGAAATATTATGCAGGGCATGTCCCATGAAACTTTTCTATTCTTTAAGATTGTGAAGTATTATGATCAGCGTGGTTTGTGTCGGAGGTCAGAGTGATGCCAACCCCCCGGCAGAGGGAGTTGTTTTCTCAAAAAGGAAAAAATGTTAATATGATGTCCGTTCATGCAGCAATGAAAGCGGATGCAAAGTAATACGAAATCTAGCCAAACGAACTTTATGGGCTGAACATGAGCTGAATAGTATAGTGTCCTGGTTTTCTGTTGCTGTTTCTCGTTTTACCAGCATTGTGCGTTGCAAAGTATTTCTTTGGCTACAATCATGATTGGAAGCAAGTTGGGTTTTCCCTTTACTCTTCCTGACAGTAGGCTTTTATTTATGCATCAGAAATATTCTGTGCAATGTTTTGAAGCTGCAAGACTTCATTGCTTTATTTAGAAAATGACGCTGTGAACGGTCGGAGTTATCAAAACTTTAGATACAATTTCTGTAATAGTACCAAGCCATATGAATGAGTTGATTGTATATTCTCTTGACGATCTTAATGAAATTCGTGTGCGGGGCAAAAGCTGTCGTGTTAATCCAATACGCAGGAAGTTGAGAATATATCATAATTAGCAGGCGTTTAGCGGATGGTGTAATACTTTGTTTAGTAAAAGTGCAGTGCGACTTGTTTACGTTGAGAATCGTCAAATCTATCATAAACGAATAGATCGTGTATCACTGAAGAAAATGTGGGCTGAAGGGACATCAGTTGAACTGGCTTCATAGCTTGCTAACGGTGAGTCACAAAGTCATGAACTGTTCAGGCGTTACCGTCGGTTGGTCTGAACACAACAGAACCTACAGGCTAAAAGCGGTGGCACACGGAAGCGACGCTTGTGCTTTCTCATCGGTACCGTTATTTGCAGTCATCAGAGCGTGATTAGATTTCGTGGTTATATGACTTGCATACAGGTCACTTAACCAATAACAACAGCTCGGAGCATTGAATTCAACTCCTGCCTGGATCATTGGATGATTGTCGTCTTTGCTGACAATACCCTCATTTTATGCAGTTGTGCAACTCTGCGAATGTAGGCCTATATTGAGTGGGATGTTAGTCCTCAGATTCCTCTAGAAACTACAAAGTTATTTTCTGAACCGACGGAGGCATAAAACGATGATTAAAGTTGTTTACTACTGAATGTAATACTGGCTCGACTTCAACTTTGGACTGCGTTATCACCGATAGATTTTGGATGTTTCGCCCAGTTTGGTACTCCATCCACTTGAGTTTTATCGTCAGCAGGTAGCTGCTGGGATTTGATGGGTCATCGCACGCCTATTTGGCAGGAATGCCATTGTGTGTGGTTACTGTGGTATTATGGCGAAGTACTAGCGCAACTATTATGGGTTCATTCATGACCAAGTTTGCTGTGCAGGTTTGCAATACGATAGAGCTATAGGTCAAAACTAGGACTAGTCAAAACTAACAATGCTGCAGTGTTACGTACAGAGGAAGGTGATACTGATAATGACTAATGTGTTGTGAGATCACAGAGCTCATGCTTCGTGGATTTAATATAATGTATGTAAATCCATGTTACGTAACTATTTGTTGACCACAAACCATGGCGTCAGTCCGATATTGACCCACTTCATGCTCGCTGATTGAATACCATGATTTTGTTGCTACTACCAAGCTACCGGGGACCACAATGACTGATAGTGCTACGCTGGTCGACAGCTCGGAACGGATTATCCTGCCGCTCGAAATATAATGTAATCACGCCAATGGAGTGACAATGAGGAGATACAAGGGCAGCTTCGTTATCGATATAAGGAGCTTGTTCACGGGAGCAGCAGCGAGCGCCTGCCACGTTTTCCCGGCCATGTCGACTAAAGCGATGCGACGATTCCTTGCCTGGTTCGTCTTCACCATCGCCACCACGGTGGTGTTTTTCCTTGGGATCTTTCAAGGGGTGAACACGGGATGGAGGATGCAGTACGCGGAGGCCATGGATCGGCCCGCCGCGGCGGCGGCGGTGGGTAGCAGCACTAGACACGGCCCGCTCAGACGAGGCATACTGGCGGACAACTCTAAAGGAATCCACCAGGAAAATGAGACTACTTTAAAGCTTCGATTATTGCATCTCAGGAACGGACCGACATCAGAAATTCCCACCTTGGATTATACACATGGTTTACAGAAGATCGAGAACAGTTCGGGGAACTCAGGGGACACGCTACAAAATATCACACGAGCTCAGGTAAAAAAAGAAGGCTTTTTGAGTTTTCATGTTAAAGTAAAAGATATTATTATCATACTTTCTCGCTGTGGTGTTACCGTGATTCTAGGCTGTCATACCAGTATACATGGGCTTTTGTACAATGCGTACTGTTGCCAACAAATAAAACAAACAAACAATTTATTCCTCAATGCAAAGATGACGGGAAAGAACCAAGAATTTACTTTGAAACTCCCAGCAAATACATAATCATGGCACAACCGTTACAGACGTAAAACTTGACGAATTTTCTATCAAAAATGTTGAGGTTTTTAACATTATTTGCATGGGGTAAGGGGTATCCATCATGTCCATTGAGCTGGCTCATGCAATCTTTCCATTCGATAGGCACTTGTCTGACGTATGAACACTAGTCATGGCATAATTATGCCAGATCTTTCCAGTTGTGTACTTTACTTGACTGTCGATGTGTCAAAGTGCAATTCTGCCCATCACACACTCTAAATGTTATAGAGTATATTTACAGTCAGTTTTCAAGAACATGACCGTTCAAGATACATGACTTATGTCTCGCATGTTTCTGTCAGAATCTTAAGCTTTCGTTCCACTCCCGGATGTATTAGTAATTGAAAGGGGAAGTGTCCCTGTCTCTGTAATTTAATGTGTTAGATTAAGAAATCTATAGAGAGGATTATATTGTCATGTACATGTACAATGCAACAGTGTTTTGGCGGTTCTGGTGCATTTATTCAGTATAAACCTTTCTAGGTTTCGTATACAATATCTTGATGATATCCAAAGATAATTGATTGCATTTTAGACACACAGGGTGTACATTTGGAGCTAACAACCTTCGCTCATACGACACCGCCTATACCGTCCCGTAAAGATACGCAAAGAATGCTGATGCATGAATATTGTTTCCATTCACTTGCCAACCCACAGAAATTGAACCAAATGCCTAAAAAGTATCCAGGTCAGTTTCATTATTTGCTTGGTCCCCCTGTCCCGAAGGTCAATTAAAAAGAATTAGTGTAATCCAGTAGCGGATGCAACTTGTTATGGAAAAACGATCGGCCTTAAATTCTGTGTTGTTTATGAGTATGAGAGTACGAGTACTTAATCATGAATACGAGTCCAAGGCTATATTTTATTTCCATGAATTACTCAAGTACGTGTACAATTCAATTCAATTCAATTTCAATTTATTTATTCTCATCATGTAAAAACATGAAACTTGTCTCCTCGTTCTGCACACATATAGTCGTATACACATTAAAAACTTCACATTAAAACCATAAAAACATATACATATATGTACAAAATAGACGTAACAATATGAGAAAACTTACAAGAATACACGTAACCAGGAATAGAACAACAAATACGAGTACGACGAGTACTTTGCACAAGTAGGAGCAAATTTCAATGGGTCATGTAGAAGCCTAACTGTGCCAAACAGTAGAAAACTAGTTCTTTTCCTGCATAGGCCTAGGCCTATAGCTAAAAAAAGTTTTGTTATTCTGCGGGAGAGGATTTTGCAAGAGTATGAGTATGAGTGGCCTACAATCGATTGGCCATGAGTCCGAGTACGAGTGCAGAAAATGTCTTCCTTTCGAATACGACGAGTGCGTTTTCACGAGTACTATGAGTACCAAAACATGTACTCGAGAACGAGTACTACAAGTACAACACTGCCGCCTAATACCTACCGTGTGCAAAATAACTGTGGACTTTTACTCTAGTCAATTTATCCCGTGTTCGTGTTCCAAACTCATGTTTACCAACCCCAAGTCGCCGATAGGCACCCTGCCAAATGCAACAGAATGCAGTGCCAGCCTCGGTACCAAGTCCTAGCTCTATGGTACCAAGTACATGTACATGTACCTATCCTGCCAAATGCAACGGAATTCAGGGGTGGAATGCATCAGATGTGGACACTGCTAAATGCAACAACTTGCATTGTTGCAACAACTTTTTACCATTGGCGCATTCTGTTGCATTTAGCAGGGTTAGGGTTCAACTCAAAACCTTTATAACAGTATTGTTTCTTCAGAGACTGAAATGAGAGTTCTTGGGCTCCAGGGTCGCTTACTTATCTATTTCTGGCAGAGTTGCTCAAGGAAAATGGGCTTCCGCTCTACTAGTCTCCGGCATTCACTCGCTATATATACAGTGTATGATTGATGTTGAGGTGTGGATGCTAACTTTATTGGCTATTGCATGCCTTTAGTTTTAGTTTGACCATTGACGTGAGTTGGGACTGTTGTGTAAAAAGCTGGTCGGTCGTTGTGATTCACTGCAGCAGATCAGCTGTTATCGTGCAGTGTGATCTTATAAGTGTTGACCACTTTGTATGGGTATGGCCAGGCCATCCATCATCAGTATGAAAATACGAAACTAGTGTCAAACATTTATAACCGTTTTCTATAGAGTACACCCGAAACGAACTATCAAAACGTGAAACATGCCACACTACAACAAATAAACTAAATTTGTTGGCCCATGACGAAGGTTTTTTTTCCTATTGCATGTATTGTTGTGTTTGTTTGTCTGAAACTCCCGAAAGCAGTTGTAGTGATGAAAAGGATTTGGTGAGCGCAACATGCATTAACCATTCCCTCGTATGAAAACATGCATTCTCTGAGCCATGTTATTACTTGAGTCAATATTGGTCAAGACCCCCATTGGTTTGGTAACAGTTTGAACATGCTAGGATGTGAGGAAGAACATTGTGACCATTATTTTGTGACCTCTTAAATAGCAGGAGGGTTAATAGTTTTCGGGAGAAAAAGTCCAAGTGAATTCATGGTCTGAGCCATGAGACTAATGTGCTTGACATTTTTTTTCCTATCGCATGCTTGACATTATATCCATATCCAGCCTTCATCCCTGCTAATAATTCTCCATGCACACGGCATCATCATAAAAAAAAAGGAGAAAGAGAAAACTCTACAGTGACATAAATTATGTTGTGTGTTGTGACATCGTCCAATACAAAAAGCGTTATCAGAGATATACACTTCCACTGTGCTCATAAATTCGAAGTCAGAAGTGAAAAGTGTCATCTCGCCAGAAGTCAAATACTGCACGAAGTTTCTCAGTCTCACTCTCGCTCGTAATGATCATGAGGTATTGAATCTTTGGCCGGCCTTGTGTTTATTTCCTCGTGCGAGCTCTGTCATTCACATAACCGTGAACTCAGGGAAAGTTCCCAATCCAGCTCTCTAGTTTGTGTTTCGACCATTAGTTTACCTTTGCATAATTGCTGTAGTGGAATCTGAGCTATTTAAGTGATTGCCAGATAAAGTACTCAACAGCGTCTTGACCCACACTGATGACCCCAGTACTTGGTGCCAGTAGGTCATCTTCGTAGTAAATATTAGTGCAACAGTTGACAATATCATAAACAGTTCTCCCCGTGTGTGAATATTTCATTGTTACCACAAACATGGCGCTATGCCACAAACATCTCTGAAACTTCAAGTTTACAGTTGATAGCAGTGTGACTGAATTTTACTGGGTTCTTTCTCCGTATGCACTTTCTGGTCGGGCACTTTCTGGTTGCAAAATATACGAAATAAAGGGTCCATGAAATCAATTTTACACTGGGTCATATTTCTAGCAAATATCCACTACTCTGAAATGTACAAAACTATGAGGCATCCCTTTTTGGTAAAATATTTTTTTACTTTGAACATTTAAAATGTTTCATGCTTTTCCTGACAACTGAGGGCGCTGTTGTTGTGATGTCACTTTAGAAACACAGTCTTCAGATTAAGGGTTTTTCTCTCGAAATTTTAAACCCACAAGTCTGCTTTTGAAAACAGTTGTGCATAACGTTTTCTCATTGTCTTACTGTCATACATGTATACTGAAACAACAGTGAACCACTGAAAACAGAAAAATAACCGCAGCAAACCCTTAAAATTCTGGTGACAATTTATGCTGTAGCAGATGGGAAACTGAAGTTTCACAGTTTTGATCATGAATAAGGAAATTTGCATTAGCATGAAAACCAAAAAAAGAGGCACCAACACGCCCTTAACTTAGCAATATGAAGTAAAATTGAACACAAAGGTACATTTCGAGGATTGCATTTTTTTTTAAATCAATTACATAGCCCTTTAATTCAAATATGTCACATGTTACATATATTCGTGAAAGAAATTGTTTGTCATTTCGGAGGCACTTCTCGAAAACTTTGTCATGTTTACCCCCTTCGGTTCAGGTTTACAAAACTGCGCCCTTATGTTGACACAAACTGCGAACGAAATCCCATTTGTAATTCCTCGTTACTCAACAGATTGCCACATGCGTTCGCCACCCGTCCACTCACCCCTCCGTGCACTCGCCGAAACTTGTGTAAAACTGATCGGTCACCAATGATCTTGTCATGCAACCGCTTCAACTCCCTATAGGATATGTTCATCATGCATAATAACTGACTATATTTTTAGACAGGAGGCAGTGTAGGTGTACCGAAGACGAACTTTAGAACTGACTTCATTATGCTTATCTATAGCAAAATACATTAAGAGATTACATACATTAATTTTCAAGATACCGACGTGATTAGACTGTGCCTCCTTGTTTGAAATCTTTAAGAGCGCATGCAGACGTGTTTTTATAGGGCATACAGACAATAATTATGAGGGTGGACCGGAGGAGGAAATGTGTATGTAAAATGTTCCTGGTATCTTATTAATCCTTACTCTATGAATTTCCATCACATAAACCCCAAGGGGTATTGACTTGGTACGCACTTTGGCTTTCGACTAGTTTATGTACTTCTTAAGTCACGGTGTGGAGTTGAGCCCCAACGTTTTAAGACCGTTCCTTCTTGTTGTTATATGGCAAATTCATGCCCGGGTCTCGGCAGTCCGATTCATAATTGCTCCATTCAGTAGTAGACCTCCTTCCAGTAGTAGATGTGTCATATTTTGAGAGTCCTTTGTCTGTCTCCCATGAGGTCGCCCTTGTCTTCATGGTGGGGCCCCTGTCTAGTCACAACAATCATTCCCGTGACACAATGTCCCAGTGATGTCTCTCATCGCTTCATTAATAAACGTGACTCCCCTGGACTTCCCACTTGTTGTGTTAATACACTGTGGGATGAGGGATGGGGTGTAGGGCCAGGTATGTGAGGGGTAGAGAGTGCCCACTTCAGGTAAACATCATGTCTGTAAACACGGAATCCACCAGTTTGTGACAAAGGTGTACGTGTACATCTTTGACATCTGGATGAATTAAGCGACAATGTGATGACCTTGCATAGAAAATGTTTGGCAAGAATATACAGTACATTAGTTGAATGACACCATACATGTGTCGTTTCTGTCACGTGATTTCTACACCATTGAGTTTTTGTAATATGGCGGACTTTCAAAGGTTTTCGGGTGAATGTCCCGTTCGTGGTCGGGCAGCTGTGGCAACATTGATGTACATTTCAGCAAGTCTGGATAGTATGCCCTTAAACAGTTCAAGTCTTCCTTCTTGGCGAAGATTTCTGCACAGCACAGCCGAATAAGCAGAGACTCTCACAATGATATTGGTTTCGTTAATGTAACGGAGACGGTATTTTCCGGTAACGTAATGAGGTCCTGAAATCTGAAAGTGACTGGGCGTACATTTTAATAACATGCTAGGATTCTGGGAAGTCTTGCTGGCTGCTGTCCAAGTCCAATAGTCTTGGCTGTTCCGGTTTGAAGGGTTGAGGATTTAACTTAGATTGTATGTTTTGAATCTTGTTTGCGGATGTAATTGCTGTGGAGAACTGTTGGAGTTATTCCAAGTCATTTACAGTAACAACATCAGGTGTATTTCATGGACTTTCAGTAATGGCCCCTCGTACCACAGTCATTGCCTATAGTATTACCCTATCCTTTTCCTGTTGGTTAGAGGAGAATTGGAGAATTGTGTTACATACACTCCACTACTAAAATCCTGTAAGGTTAAGTTTAAGGTCGATAATCGTGATTGGATTTTACAACACATCACCACTCCATTGGTTAACACATAAAATCTAACCTTTCAGCTGCCCTAACTCTTTCCTTGGTTTATTCTTTAGATCATCAGATCCATTCGGAACCACACAATCCACTCAATCTGTCAGGCTGAGCAACTGAGTGACGTCTCCATGTTGGACCGGACAGCCCGCGAGGAGCTGACCCACCAAATCATCGTGGACGACGAGCGTAAGTTCTTGTACTGCTACGTGCCTAAGGTGGCTTGCTCCAATTGGAAACGAGTCATCAAGTTCATGCAGGGTACTATCCAGGATATAGGTGCCAAGATCAAGATGGACCACAAGAACGGCCTGGTGTTCTTAGATAGCTTTACCCCCAAGCAGATAAAGTACCGCATCAAGAACTACTACAAGTTCATGTTCGTTCGTAACCCTGTGGAGAGGCTGCTGTCGGCTTATAGGAACAAATTTGGGGAGGAGGCCCTTAGTCAGTACAAACAGCGTTACGCACCCAGGATTATCCACAAGTACCGGGGCAAGTGGGATGGGAAGGATACTAACATTACCCTTGAGGAGTTTGTCCGGTACCTGTTGGACACGGGGACTGCAAAAATGGACCAGCATTGGAAGCCCATGCATCTACTATGCCAGCCTTGCGCTGTGCAATATGACTTCGTAGGCTCGTTCGAGCAGTTGAGCGAGGATTCCAATTATGTCCTAGACAAGATCAAGGGGAACACAGGTGCATATTTCCCCCCACGCCAGGGCTGGTACAACCCCACCACCCAGGACAAAATGGACGCTCTCATCAGCGAGGTGGACCCCATTTACATCCAAAAGTTCGTGGACAAGTACATCTTGGATTTTATAACCTTCGGGTATGCGCCGCCGAAACAGTACTACTTGAAATACAACCAAGACGATGGCGAAGACGACGATGAGGAGAATGAGGAGAATGAGATTAATCCCAGAGGAAGCAACGACTCGTAGCCGAGACCATCTTTTTGAGTCCGTCCATCCTGTTTTAGGCATCATGCTTCCTTTCTGACAGCGACAGTCATCGAATTTAAATCCGTAGCCTCAAAAATAACGTCACACTGCGGATAGAGTTTGGTCATTCCGATTTGGGAAGTCGAAGTCCATGTCATTGTCGCTACCCTCCGGAGAATTCTGACCTCTGCCCTAAAAAAAATTGTTGAAGAGAACTATTGTTGTGTTTCTTCTAATCTAGAAAATCAGAATAAATATGCGAAATTGATTTTATCACTAAAATTTGAATATACACAGGGCTTCCAATCGTTTGAGCTTTGACATATATCTGTGTTGTCACCTCGTTGATCATGTTAACAGATTACGAAGAAAGGTGAAATTATCTGCCAAAGAGTATCTTCAGGCTACTTTGTATTATATATTAGTACGTAATAGTCGCTATTTTTGTACCTGTCCCAGTGTCCTGTCCAAGTATTTGCCTCAATGATTTGTGTTGCCAGAGATCACTCAGGACCAGAAGTGCATCGTTTTGAGCATTTGGAATTTTAGGGTCAATCTTAAAGGGGTATGCCCACATGTATATAGCTTTTTAGAGTTCGTCTGAACTAATTGGCATGCACTTCCCAAATCAGTGTAGACCCTGTTTTGTCTAGTTTAATGTACATGCTTTTGGGGTGTTCAATAATAATTACAAGCCGGTGAAGCCTCAAGGCATTCTACTAAAATCATTAAGGATTCCAAATTGTAGGTCCTCTTTCTTTAAGAACAAAAACATCACAAAGTTTCTCCTTTGATGAGCAGAATGAAAAAGGATCAATATGAGGACAGGTGAATGTATGAAGACAAGAGTTTGGAGTGCTCTCCTTAACTAAGGGGTCTTGACGTGGTATGGTAGTGATGTTTAGTTTTAAGTACCCTTGAATGCAAACAAAAAAGTCGAGGATGCAAGTGAGTGTGTACAATGAACACAGAAGAGTCTTGTCTGAAGTGCTGAGTTGAGTGCACCTCATTCCGAGTTTACCCTCGGGCCAAACGCATATGCACTCTTTGTGGCGCATGCCTATTTGGCCCGACGGTATTCTCAGCACGAGGATCGTGACACTTGTGATTAAAAATGTTAAAAATGACTTGTTCTTTTCTTTTGCATTGTGATTTTAACATACAATTTTGTTGGTTGCTGGAAACTTTTGTAGTTAATAATTTAATAAATAAACAGGAAAATGTCTTCCAACTTTATGAAGTTGAATTCTTGTGACCGAAAACGTATTTCCTTTATATGTCGATGTAAACGCCGTTGATTATTAGAAATTTTTCAACATCTGGCTAACAGATAAGTCATAACGAAAATCCCTTTTTTATGTGCAACGTAATGCAAAAGATCTGAATCTGTGACCTCGTGCATGGACACAGTATCAGGGCTCAGAATGCAAATTAGTTTGACATGTGGGTTTCCCAATTTTGTGGACGTCTTGTTCTTATAGTTATACTGGGGCGCCAGTAATTTGAATTTCAATGGATTCTTCGAAAGATTGATCATAATGGTTAACATGCCCATCGTCGAAGTTAATCATCCTTGCTCACTGTTCAAATCTGAGATTACAAGGGAAACGTGAGGGGCTGTGGATTCAATGATATACATGTACCAGTTAAATTCAGAGGCAGTCGACACGAACCTGCTGGCCCATGCGATGTTTTTGTCAATGTTCTGTTAAATTGTTGGGTTTTTTTCCGGATACGTCTGTGGCGTCATGAGGACGTCATCGTGTAAAATGTTGACACTAGAACACTGAAACTTCTCTACAAACAGTGTCAATTTCGAAAATTGTTGTTTTGGCTTTTGTGATGTCACCAACATCAACAAACACACTAAAACATAATATTATTGACCTTCTACCCAACTTCACTGATCATTGTGTATTCAATAGTAGCGTAACGAATGGCCTGATCTGCAGGTGACAAAAATAATATTTTAATCAGTGATTTTGTCTTTTCCGTGACTGGATTTTTGACCCGTGGGCTCTAGTAGGCTAATTATATGTGTGTATAAGAAGTTCATGGTGCATGACCGCTTGTTTTTGCTCCGGACTTCACTCATCAGCAGGCAGCAAGTCATCCTCTTATATTATTGATCACAGAGTCCGTGTCTTGCCAAGACAGGAAAGGGAAGCTTGAACTTGTGGTGATATATGATAACAAATCCTGGCTCTTCAGCCGCCTCTGGCCAACGGTTATCAAAATCTTATCAGCCCTGCTATAGATATAGCCGTTAACTATACAGGCGTTATACTGGCGAAATGGTTAAGGAACGATATGGAATTCAGAATTTAGGGTTTGAGAAGTTTGAGAATGCAGTTTAAAAAAAAAAAAAGACCCTGGCCAGATTAGACTGGAATCTGGGTTCCAATTTACCGGGATATTCACGGTCAAAATTGACACTGTTCTGTGTCAGAATGGCACTTTTGCCAAGGATTCCTGGTCAAAGAAGAGTGTCATTTTGCCTCGGAAGGTGCCAGGCCCAATAGATTCCGGGTCAATATGACAGTGGACTTGTAAGAGTGTGGAGACCCGAAGTGTAAAGTTAGGAATCGGAATTGACCATTAGGGGGGGGGGGGGGAATGAGAATTTGGGGCAAATTTTATAGTGTATTTTGAGATGGCTGTAAACAAGGATTTGACATCATCGAGTATTAATGACGTGCCATTTCGTACCTGAGTCTTTCATTCTATTTGTAATTTACTCTCATGTATTGGGTACGGTTCGACAACTAAACTGCGACACATCTGGTTTTGGTCCTTACAAGCGTAAAGGCGTGTACATTTTGTACATGTTTATCTACGAGTATATACGTACCTGTTGTTTGTACTGCACGGATGCCTTTGAGTTAAAATAAGAAACCAAAACTGACCGTGACATTTACGGGCTGGGCTGTTTAGACATAGAATGTAAACTGAAGTATCCTGTACCCTTTCTCAGTGATTTACCATGTTATTCAATACCATGGTTGTAGAGAATGCGATAGGGCTCACGTATGTTTCAGCCGCTCATTTAGTTTGCGCGCATGCGCACTCAAAATATGAAATACTGATAATCAGCAAACATGGATGCCTGCGGTCGCAGTTTGACCCACTGAAGTATCGGTCAACATCACGCTCGAAGAACTTTGATAAATTTTTCTTTCCACGTGGACAGGAATTTAAGGCCATCAAAGTCACTTTTGCAAACCTTAGCGCAAAAAAACAGAGAGTATTTGATGCATTTTTTTTGTTTTTCCGTGTCGTGTAGTACGAAAATATTGGGTCACAAATTCAAAACAGGCGACAGTTTAGGGGATAATTTTTCAGTTTTGCCGAGTAATTGTAAACTTGTCTTCCCTGAAAAATGGTAAAAGATGCCATGGAAAGTGCGATTTTTAAATATCATTTAAGTCGGAAACCGTTTCAATGAGAAAAGTAAGGTCTCACGTTATACGTTTTTTCGTTGAATGTAACGTTAGTGTGCACGTACCTGTACACAGACCCTGCGGGAATCTGGCCCGTAAACATGGCTAGCAACGCGCCGCGCGCGGCGCTCCGTTTGTAATCTTTCGACGCGTTGGCAAATAAATGTATACATTTAACTGAAACGATTTACAACTGACTGGTTCCCGCCCCTGAAATGCAAGTACGATCACAGAGGGCACTGGGACCAGTGTATTTGTGCACGAAGCTTTCAAAATGGGTTTACTCGAAAAATGACGATTTTTATAAGCTACAGGTTTCCTTCTTACATCAAATCACCTGTAAAATGATAATAATCTATCATCCTTTCCGATGGTACTACGGCTGATCTAAGGTAAACCCGGAAAATTGTCAAAATGTGTAAACCAAACTCAAAAGCGAAAGATTTTTTTCCTTTTCATTTTGTACGTTTTTTGTCCATAACTATTGGGGTTTTTTAATATTTGAAAAGGTTTTTAGCGCCGTTACCACACTGTAGAGACAATTTATATCTTTGTTCACTTGGTCTACTGATAATTTTTGGTTTGAATCATCTTTTAAGTACGTTTGAGAAGGATACATTTTAAGACATGAAAACCAGACAATCGTTCAGTGCGTCGTCTGCTACCGCTCTTTGCAAGCCGACGACGCGGAGGAAACCATTGCGCATGCGTGAGAAGACGAACTAAATGCACGCACGGTCTATGGGGCTGAAACATACGTGGGCTACGGTTTGTGCTAACTCGGTAAACCTTAACGTGAACTGGTTCTGCAATGAATGCCCAGGGAAAAAAACTGAATTTGCCATCCACATCAAAATAGATATGAAAACGTGTAGATCATATCAGTTGCTCACAGTATTCCATCTCTTATGTGTTCCTTGTTCTTCGGATATGTTTAAAATGGCTTCTGGTTATTTATCACCATCGTGTCCTTTCTCAGTTTCAGTTCGCAATGCATAACATGTATGTGGTGTTGAATGACTGTATTGGCCCAAAATGAACTGTCCCTGTCGCCAATTCTTTAAGTTGCGCTGCGAGAATTTTATACCAGATTCCTTGATTAGGTTTCTTTGAACTCCTTTCGTTTAGGTCTCGGTGCATAACACAATGAGAGCTTGTAGGCAAAGTTCCTGTGGGTCCACAATTCATGGGGTCCACAATATTCATATAGGTCACCGCCAGGATGGCGGTGACCAAGACAATGTGGTTTAAGTAATGGTTACGGTGTTTGACTCACGTACCGTGGTACGTGGGTTCGAACCCCTGACGGGGAACATGGTGCTTGTGTTCTTGGGCGAGACACTTTACTATAATTGCCTCTCGCCACCGAGGAGTACAAATGGGTACCTGTGATGGTAGAGACCAGAATGCGCTGATCTCGAGCTGCTGCAAAACTGGTCTCAAGGCCTGATGAACAGGGGTCATAATAATGTGAAGCCCTTTTTGAGACCTTTGGTGTAAAGCGCTATATAAGCACCACATTATTAGAAGCATTCGTCAACTACATAATGCGGATGAGTAACTGTATTGTAAGACTTAAAGCGCTATCTTATGAACTCTGTGAACACCTAGGCCTTCCCGTGCAAATTGAAGTGTTAGGACTTCCGTTTCATTTCACAGGTTCTTGTCCAATCCAGGAAGCAGCCTATTTTTGTTCGCTTTCCTCTCTGACACAAACCACACGGTTTCTTTGTCATTGTCAGCTGTTGCAAGGAATACAGGGATGATGCCAACTAAATTACAGGATTTAAGGAGTGTCGTCTGACAGTGTGCGGTATACACTTCAAGCATCTTAAGAAAAGCCAACCCTTTTTAACAGGCCTTTATGCAAGATTAATTGAATTATTTTGTACTTCGTAATACATGTATTAATAGATAAAAAATTAGAGTTTGTTGCACAATTTTTTCATCTCTTAAAATTACCAGAAGGTGGATGTATGCTTTGGGGAAAATGGCACTAGTCGAGGTGGGATTGGCTCAACCAATTCATGCCGATTTGTTGCGATCGTGGAAAATTAAACCGGATCGATTTCCGTAATTATTTTTGCTTAAACAACCAGGAGGAATAAATCAGCTCACGCCGTTGAAAATATATACAGCAAACACATGCTCAGTTGCCAAGTTAATATAGACGTACGTTTCAAGCATGACAGACACACACACAAATTAGATCACATTTCTTTACGCTTTATCTGAAATAGTTCAAAGATAACTGGAAAATCGGGGCAGTCAACAAGCTTCGAAACGACCATGTACAAAAGTCAACACAACAGATTGATCATCGCCTTGTAATAGAATCCATCGTATCATAACAACTGTTTTCTCAATTTACAGTCAATAGCCTATTGTGTCGGTGGACCGTTGAAAAGATAAAAAAGCTTGTTGATCTTTGCTGTTGTGCTATTTCATCGTTGAACGCATCATAAACCAGGTGTATCTCCTGTTAGTCATTGTCACTCTGTCGTCGGCGTATCTTTAACAATATCAGAAACGTCCTTGAGGTAAAGAAGTGATTTCTTTTAAAACCGGCAGGTAATTGGTAAATATAGAGACTGAAAGTTGACCCCTGACGGCGCCTTCCGGACCCTCGAATATGACAATTAGCGTGTAAAAGTCGGAGGTTAATTAGCAATCGTTTTCAGTACATTGATTTCTTTAAAAAATCACCCTCGGAAAAAGGCCTTTTTAAAACTGTTACTAGCATCTCAATTTATGGAAACTGAAAAAAAACGTATGCCGTGAAAGAGAAAAATCGTGTCAAAAATTG